CTGGCCCAGCTAACCAATCACAGCACATTTCGTATTTCAGAAGGCGGGCCTTCATTTGATACAGGAACTATTCGAGCCGTTCATGCCAGACTGGGGAGAGAGGTGTTGTAATAATGTAAAATATGTGAAAAATACTGTGTTTTTCGAACAACCTAGTATGAGAGCCTGTTCTAGTACACCCCCAAAACAAAATCAAGACTTTGTAAAAGAGCATAATAGGACCCCATTAAGCGCTGCAAGCCATGCATACAGCGCCGGACATGACAGGTTTTCTGGTACGCAAAACAAGTACTTTAAAGCTGACATATCATGAAAATCTGACTTTTCCAGGTTTTCAGTGCTACAATCAGGTCCCCGGTGCATCTACCAACCAAGGAAACGTGAAAAAGATTAAGCCAGTAACTTTGTTTTGGGAAGCCTTTTTCTGCAAGCGTCTGAGAAAACGAGCGTCTGATTTCGCTCCCTTGGTGACGTGGCAAAGGGATCGTCATTATAATATTACCGCCCCTTAATCTGTAAGTTTACACCGACGGCACCGTCATTTTGATTTCGCAAGCGACAGCGGTGTTCTAATGCCATGGCGAAAGTTTGAGCAAAACATGCTAACTGTTCTGTCTTTGTCTGCACAGACGAGCACAGAACACTGTTTAGAGTCCCAGCCTCAGAGGAGACTGTGACAGCCGCTTTCTGTGCGTGTGCTTCGGATGTGTGCGCTCAGAAAACCGTATATCAGAAGTTTAAACTCATATGGTTTAAAACGCATGACTTCAGCGCGATAAACATGATAATCAGAACCAAAACAGATGTTTTTAGCAGGTCCGAGCTGTAACGGCGCAGCTCTATTCTGGAAAAGGGGGCGGGGAGCAGCAGCTCATTTGCATTTAAAGAGACAGGCCCGAAAAACAGCGTGTTTCTGCTTCCACTCAAAATAGGCATTTTCAAAATAATATAATAAATGATCTGTGGAGTATTTTGAGCTGAAACTTCACAGACACATTCTGGGGACAACAGAGACTTTTATTATATATATTGTAAAAGGGGCATAATATGTCTCCTTTAAAGGAATTCATTAGCTTACTGCCGTCACTGTGGCAGCCAACAAACCCTCCACACATATTTATATTTAGTTATATTGAAAAAGTTTCAATTCAGTCATATTTTTTATCCCGTTTTAACATGGATCTCTATGGAGACCAACCGTAGATATTGGGCAAGATTGCAGATAGCAGCGGTGGCACATGATATCCGCGTTCTGATTGGTCAGATCACCTGTCATTCAAGCTCTTTGCGAACGGTCAATTAATGCATTAAACCACTTTCATAATGCATTATATATAAAGGCTCAAAGTGTCACATGATCCTTCAAAATTTATTCTAACATGCTGCTGAAGGAACATTTTTATTATTATTAGTTAATATTTTGTGGAAGTCAAGACACCCTACCACTCAAAAGTTTGGGGTGATATTTTTTTTTAAACAAAAATAAATGAATAATTGTATTCAGCAAGGACACATTAAATTAACTAAAAGTGACAGTAATTTTAATGTTACAAATTTACAGGTTTATTTTCATTTAATTTACAGATTTATTTAAAATAAATGCAGTTCTTGTGAACTTTCTATTCATCAAAGAATCCTGAAAAAACTGCATCAAGGTTTCCACAAAAAATTAAGCAGAAAATACTGATGATAATAATAATAAGAACTATTATTAATAATTGAGCACCAATAATAATTTATAATAAATGAAAACCAAACCAGCATATTAGCATGCTTTCTGAAGGATCATGTGACACTGAAGACTGGAGTAATGATGCTGAAAATCCAGCTTTGATCACAGAAATAAATTACATTTTAAAATTCATTAAAATAGCAAACAGCCCTTTAAAATTTTAATAATATTTCACAACATTACTGTTTTTATTGCATTTTTAATCAATTGGAAGAAAGGGACAAAATCTGGCATACATCACCAGAGAGAAGTCTGCAGTTTTACTGGAAAATGTAGTTTATTTTTATTAAAAAATACAAGGTCAATCTTTTAAGGAAAAAAAAAAAGAATGAATCCATGGATTCATTGTTCATAATATCAAATAACAAAAATAAAAGCAAATAAATTGCCCTTATTTTAATGATATGTTGACAGTTTTACTGGAAACCAGATAAAAACACTGCGTAAGAAAGTGATTTTGTGCTGTATGCCGTGTTGACTGTGTGTGCGTACCTTCTGCATGCCCTGCAGAGCCTGCTGCAGGAAGCTGAGCTGCTGCTGGCGGGTGGTGTCCTCCTCGCTGTGCTGGGGCTGCGCTTTACCCTGCTCCTGCTTCAAAAGCTCCACCTCATTCCTGTAGGCATCCAGCTGACACCGCAGACTGTCGTTCTCTTCTTTCAGAGCCTCCACCTGAGCCAGCGGCCCTGGGAGACCACAGAGAGAGAGAGTAGGAGAGATATGAAAAATGACAATTGCATTGGCGACAGGAAAGGGAAATAAGCAGACAGAGACACACGAGCGAAGGAGGCAGGGGTGAAAACCAATAACGGAACAGAGAGAGAAGAGGCGCATATTAAGAGTCGTGTGCGGAGTAATAAGTCACGGGGTGGTGGCGGCGAGGCCTGGAAAGGGTAAAATGAAAGAAGAAACAGCGTTCCTCAAAAGCTGCTTAGAGAATTCTGCTGATGGACCGAGATGAAAGGACCCTCAGTACCACTGCTGCGTTCCTTTCACTTTCAGAGGCTAATTAGAGAGGATTAAATGGAGAGAAAGTGTATTACTTAATGCTTGACTTAATGTACCATGGGCATTGTTATCAAACGGCAGTAATTAAAACAGGGTTCTTCACACCGAGACATTCCGTCATTCAGCCGTCTCTTAACAACCCGATGATCAGAGACGCCACACCTCTGCTCCGCGTCTAGCGGGAGGAGATAACGGGATTATGCCGAGAAGCGTGTCCGTCTCAGATTGGGCAGGGAGCGGGGGGAACAGCTGGGCATCTGATCGCAAGGCTGATGAAGGATCTTTGCTTTTGCGTCTCTGAAGAGGGAGAGGATGAGCGTCTGAGTGACGTGGGTGGAAGATAAGGAAAGCCAGGTTGAGCTATGAACACCATCGAAAGTCTGCCGGGAAACGCATCATTACCTGTCTCAGCTCTGCTCCGAAACCTAGCGAGCTGCCTACCTAGACTGCATTTTAAGTGGCCCAAAAGGTAGGCAGCAATGGTATTCCGCCTCTTTTTGGCCAAATTCAAAGGGAAACAACGAATACATCCCTCATAAAGAAGGCAATCCCAGAATTCGACCAACAATACAAGATAGTGGATATGAGAAATATTAGCTGCATCCCAAATGATGCACTATACACTATGCACTCAATCATGTAGAGCAGTGATCCTCACTATTTTTTTTTTCACGAGAGCCGCACTTATAGGACAACGTTAATAGGAGAGCCACTTTCACTGCAAAGTATGAAAAGTTACATCGTCATAAATAGCATGTCTGCTTCTCAATCTGTCATCCCTGAACATACAATATGCAATGCAATTCAAAGGGGTTTATTTTTAAAAGTTATTTAAAGTTATTTGCGTCTACATTAGCCCATCATGTATCAAACCATAAGAGCACATTCGGCGTTAAGAGCTGGAAAGATTGCCAAAACAACTCCACAGTGAGTCAATGTCATGGACATGGAAAGAGCAAGTTTAAATATCTTTCTAGTTTATATTTCCATCTTGTAATTCTGCTGTTTTGGGTATTTTTAAAATATAAATTATTTGTAATAGAGCAGACACTGACTGTTGTTCATATATTTATGTTCTCATTTAGCGAGACAGCAGACACGGAAAAGACTGCACACTTCAGTATGCGTGTAGTAAACGAAACCACGCGTCTGTGCCATTCATTCATAAAGAGACATGCAGGATTCATATTTAAATGGTATTTTTGCAGCTTAATATTTACAGATACCAGTAAATATTGCGATTTGATTTAAGTATAATGACCTACTTTTGATTTATTCACCCAAACTTTGACAAATTCCGTGACATTCTGCGTTATACAGTAAATTCTGTTTTTATGACTGGATTCCGCAATTCCGTCCGCATTTTTCCGCATCGCAGAAATCATAGGGCCATAATTATAATGTGTTCTATTGTCTTTTGTCGCATCGCACCACGGTGTGAGTTTTTTTTAATGGCTTAGTTATAGCTCTGCTTGTTTTTAATGTTTTTATTAAATATCTGTATTGATCATATCATCGCATTATTTGCTGCATCTGCCATGCGAGCCACACATTAAAGCTTGGCAAACCGCATGAGGCTCGTGAGCCGCGCAATGAATAACACTGATGTAGTGTATAAATTATATAGGATTATTTTGTCATTCAACATCAGTCTGATAGCCCCTCCCCCTCCGCAAACATAATTAACAGTTAATAAACAGCTGCAACAGTTGAGGGCATGAAGTGCCCAACATTCCATACTACATTTCGAGTATTTTAAGAGTACTTTTTCCTTTTTAGAATTTTGTGTGTAAACGCACTACTTGCACTATTTATCATAGCATAGTGCATACGTACGTGAATTGGGATGATCCTATTGACTATAAATATACTTGCATTTCATGCAATAATTAGAAGTATTGATAAAGCTCATTATAGTTAAAAAAATATATTTTTTGTATGTGCTTTGTATTTTTTTGTGTTTTAGAGTGTCAGGTTGTTAGCTTAGCAGTATGCTAACGGCAAACTCTGAAAGTTTGCATATTTTCACAGGGGTTTCCCATAGGAATCCAAGCACTCTGGAATTTTGTGTGAGGGCGAAAGATTTCCCTATGCAGATTTCGCAACAGGTTCAAGTTGGTCATGTTGCGTTGACTAACAGAAAGTTGTGTTTAAATGTGACTTCTGTGTGATTATTCAACGCTACATTATTGCATTAGACATGGACCTTTTTTGGCCTGTAAAATTTCACAAATGTGACTTTATTGGAATCAGTTGAGTTGAGTCTCTTAAGTCCGATGAGCGTAATTTTTTTATCATTTGTCTATGCATGTTTTACGGCATAAATGCGACATTTTTACCATGCTATGGTGGCGGTAAAGGTAGCTCATCTTTTAAAAAATGTGTTTTGAGACCTCTGAGGTTTGCAGAATGGCCATTCTGTTGTGCTAGACCGAGCACAATGGAATGGCAATTCACACGGGACACAAGAACACATCCTTTATGAAGGTAGCTGCCATGTTACCAATTCTGTGTTTTGTCTGGAAGCATGTTTGGTGTGAATTAGAGGGGAAAGAAATAGAGAGACGGAGAACAAGAGCGAGAGAGACATAGAGACACAGACAGAAAGGGAGGAAAGCAAGCGGTTTTTATTGATTCGTCTCATCAAGTTGCTGCCCTCAGAGCCATCCAGGTTCACCTTCCGCAGCATGGCAGGCAGCTCTATCGACCTGTGCTGCCCAGGGGTGCTGACAGTAAAGAAAGCAGCTCCCGTTTGCACACTGTACTATAGCTATTGTCAGAGGACACTTGCCCGTTATCATTGATTAACTCTGGGGGAAAATAAAAGCAAACATGTTGGGCTGCAGTGAAGATGGAGGTGAATCTGCCTAGTTAATATGGCTAAAACTCACACCGAGGTTAAGCCACTCCCACTCCCAAGATTGCACGTCTTACTGGCAGGTCTGAAATATTTGTTTTCATAAATGCCGCGGGTGTTGAATTACCCCCTTCATTAACCATGTGGATCTCCTGCCCTTTCTATCCTGCGACATCCTTCCAGATATCTGACAACCCACTGACAGTGATTGTTATCATTGTTTTCTAATAACTAAGGTCGCAGATGAGAAGCCGTGTGAAACAACCCTGGTAAACGTGTGATTACATTTGCATATATTTTCATACTAATGATGGACTCTGTTACACTGGAGAATCTCTAATAGTTCTATTCAAATTTCATGAGTTGAGTGGCACATATGTGGAGCCAACGAGGGTCTCACTTCAAATTGACTGTGAAGAGGCTGTGCTAAGTGGTCTCAAGATGCCAAAAAGACAATGACGTCCCACAGTGATCATTTTACGATATCCCATGTTTCTCTGTCCTGAGCAGCTATAGTACAGGTTCTCTAACAGCAGTTTTTTTTTGTGTGACAAGCAACCTGAAATGAACTGGAAGAGCAGCTGGCAGGCTCATGCTCAGCTCGGTAGCACCGCATTCAGGAAACCACAGGGGGTTGTGGGAATTGTAATACAAAAATTACACTTTTCCCCCATGATTGAATTGGCTGACCGACAGATTTGATTTAATTTGCTCACATGAGAAAGTAAAATCATCAAACTACCATGCTGGTGTTGCAGCCATGGCCATAGTGCTCAGTTGTGTGGTGCAAGTTCGAATCCAGCTGGGGATATTCCATGTTTTTATTCTGCTTTCTTTTGGTCCATCTCTCAAATGTCAAATAAGACCATCTACTCTGAACAATGTCCCACATAATTTTTTTTTTTTACATAAATATATATGAATAAGTAAGTATTAAACTCGAAGTGGATCAATCAATCAATCAATCAATCAATCAACCAATCAATCAGAGAACCAACAGGATAAAGTCAAAAGTATGAAAAGAACTGTTAATGGAATCGTTATGGAACCAGCATTATTAAATTCCTTACAATTCCCAGGTCTGGTTATGGTCTGGGAAAAATAAAAGCCACATACAGTAATTGATATTTATGTCTAAATTGATTTCTGACACAAAAAGATTAAAAACCACTTTGAGATCTCACAGGGAAGGGAAATTATATGAGCTTCATTAGTTCCTAAAAGAATGTTTATTGAAAAAAGTTGGCGAAAAGTGGCAGTTACATAGTCGGAATCCAGGTATATATCAAGGGTCATTAAACAGTCAGAGCTTTCCATGAAGCTCAATTCTTTTTTCGCTATTCATTTATACTGTGAAAATTAGCTGGTTATCTGCAAATGTATCAGCGCTGTGTGATCTGAGAAAAGGTTCCTCATAAAACGGACAAATCACCAGTGGATTCAATCTATATGCGGTTGGTGCACAGAAGCCTCTTTAAGACAATGAGGAAGTACCACTTGTACTGCTTTAAGAAAGATTTGTATCTTTTGCTTATAGACTGTCAATCAGAAATGGTGCATACCTGAATCATCCGAATCCTTGCTTTCTGGGGCGTCCTCCATGTCATCATCCGACATCTCCATTTCCTCCTCCCTCCGAATACCCATCAGCTCTTCGTTGTGGATGTTTCTGATCTCCTGTGAATGAGAGGAATAGAGTCTATAATCCCAACTGCTGGACGATCTCTCACACTTTGATTAACACATGAAATATATGAGCCGGAAATGTACTAAGCCATTCGATCAGATTGTAAAATAGAGATTGGACTCCTGAAGTGCTATAAAAGCAGACGGAGCTGCTCCAGTGGTATCGATGCAGAGAGACACACATGATGTTGGCCGACCTTGTCTATGTGCGCAGTCAAAATTTGCACAGGGACTCTTAATGTGTTATAATGGCAGCCAGTGGGGCTTAAACGTTGCAGGAAGTGATTGCACAGCCACCACAGATCGGCAGGTCCGGGCAGGGGCAGATGAAGCAGATGTCTAGGCATGGACGCTGCCCTGTGGGCTCTCCTGATGGGGGAGCTCTCCGCCTAATGAGGCATGCGCACAGCAAACAGATAAGGCTGTGCAAAGACACAACATGACCGCCACAGGGAGAGAGAGACTTACTCTGACAACAAACAAAAGGCCCGGCATAAACATTACCATCTGTCTAGCACAGCAACACATGATCTCACTGAGAATTACAGAGGTCGAGCAGGTAGCGCGAAAGCAAACAGGCCCATCTGCCCAATCAGGAGAGGGATAGATGATATGGGGCTACCGCAGGAAGGCAACTAGCTTTCCCGCTTTACACTTTTCTCCAATCTTTAACACAGGACGTCTAGCTGCCCACAGTATAAATGGGCTGCAATTGAATTCAGGTCGTCTAGGCAACTGCAAATAGCCATCTGCTTGGAATAACAATCAGTATGAAGTGAGGAGAACCCGCAATACTGACTGGACATTTCTGTGTCAGAACCAACACTGACTGAAGCTTTGTTTACGCAAGAAATAGCCGGGAAAACTTGCAGGGGAGCTCAAGGAAATGAGGATGAAAATCCTCAAAATTCCGCTAAGCCTGAATGTAGCTCTGGGTCAACAACTCATCCGACGCCGCCATCTTACCGTCACATTCACGAGAGAAGCGCAGCGAGGGTCCAAACAGCTCCAAGCAAAGCAAAGCAAACATAGTTAAATAGTGTGTCATCTATTACCTATCACTTACTGTCATCTGCTCCAGATATAACTAACCGGATTCAGGAGTGAAGCAACCTCCTCCTACAGCAGAGGATGTGGCACTAATGGGCTCTATTAGAACATAAACATTTCGAGTGTGAGGTTCAAAGGCTTGTGAAAGCGTGGCATATCCCTGAAGCCCTGCATTGTCATACTAGAAGGATTCCGACAGTTTTGAGGTCAGCTCTTCTTAATACATAATGTAAGAGGTGAGAGAGGCCTGCTAACTCTCTCTTCTTCTCAAATGAGGCTTCAGCCCGCTGTGACAGCATTGAGAGCTTCCTGTCATAGCCACAGTGAAGCTGCAAGCACAATGCCAACCCGGGAGTGAGAAGAAGCTCATATCTGAGGCTAAACATATTCGACTTATGTCAAGTGGTCAGAGCAAAGGGCAAAAGGGGGGATTGGAGGATGAAAACAGCAAGTGAGGACTACATCAGCTTCTTGAAATGATCAAGGGTTATTAGGGTTGTTGCATACCCTTTCTTGTCATCTGATGGGAGAAATGAAAGAGATGAAATGAGAGGAACTCGATAAAAGGGAGCTCAATAAGGACGCAATTACTGCAGCAATAATAAGCTCCTTTCAGAGATGAAGAACAGGGTAAGTGCTAAAAGAACTCTATATGTAACCGTTTCATTTGGAGACAAATCGAATAAAATGTCATTTAAAATTTAGAATAAGGCGGTCAATCAAGGACTCAGTTCATGAAGTTAACAAAAGCACTAACTGGCAGTAATAGCGATTTGTCTTAATGTGCTTCACAATGGGCTGGAAATGGATGGACGTGTGCGATATTTCTGACGGAAACGTCTATTTCTGATGACTCTAAATTTTTGCTCAACTGAAATCAAGTAGTTTATCAGGAATGAATGAAAGAAAATGAATTACAACTACAAGATAAGAAAATATAAAGGATTATTTAGGACATGGTGCAACTCATTTTAAACACCTACCTTAAACAGTGAGGAGTCTCTTTCGGCATTTACAGTACCTGCATCTTTAAGCTGTTCCAATGGCTTCAAGTGAACATTTACAACCCAGTCATAGCGAAACACAAAAATCAACTAGAACAAAAAGGAAGGACGGGGCTTCAGCTTATGAATTGATTGAATCATTAAAAGTGGCTGTAACATACTACAACAAAGTCAGACCTGAATGCGAGTTTGTTGCTGACTGTACATTACTACCCTTCTCCAACACACACTTTAAGGAGGCTGAAGTTCAAGTTTACCCTCTAGACCATCTTGATGCATCTTGCTTCTAAAGCCATGAGAATTGATTACTGTAAACTCCTAGGAAATTGTTTTTATGACACATGGAAAGTCCAGTCCTCGGTTGATTTCACACTCATCACTTGCTGAGCAGGAGTTCTTCGTTTTATTAGATGTAAAAAATATCAACCCTCTGATCCATGTAAAATAGTGTTTTAATGTTGCCAGCAATGGAAATTAAAGTGCTAATTAGACACCAGATTGGGTCTTTGTGCACTAATAATCAGAGAGATGTCTTAAAACTTACCTAATGACCACAGAAACAGAGGAAAGAGACAGAAAAAAACCCACTTCAACAACGAAAATGTGGAATCATTAATTAGCTTACAGTGTCTGTCTCCAACTTCCACTAATATAGAATAAATATCTCTATAAATAGATAATACATTTCTATGGTTTCTATCAGAAAAGACTCAATGTTACCTGCCGGTTGTCAACCGCTGAAATCTCATGGTCAGTGTCGGGTCACATTTCACTACCAGAGAGAGCTGAGCAATTAAACTATCATACCATTAACATTCAACTCAAAATTAAACACATGGACTTCAGGAGAGTTCAAGTACACATGGGGAGCTTGCAGGGAAGGCGAAATGGAAAAGACTAATATCTGATAGTAACATACTGCATAATTAATTCTGAAGATATGAAGCATGAACACATTCACTTAAAGAAATGAAAACACCAACCTCTGCTTGCTTTCGCCACATGTCCAGGTTCTTGCGTTGGGCTTTGGAGAAATGGTCCCATGCCTTTTGTTTGGAAGCAGCGTGGAATACAGACACAATCTGCTCAACTGTGGCAGGGGATGCAGGGGCCAGTATGGGTAAATATATCAGCTATTTTAAATAATATTATTTCACAATATTATTGTTCTTATTGCATTTATGATCGAATAAATGCAGATGAGAGACCTCTTTCAAAAACATGAAAAAAATGTTACGATCAACTTTTGAATGTCAGTATATTACGTTAAACTTTGAAAAATACATCAATGCAATGAATGGAGTGCTTTACCAACTATTTTGTGATTGTGATGATTTTAGTGTTGGTCTATTAGAATGTCTTGCTCTTAACTTAGCGAAATACTAATGTAAAGGTTTGTATGTTCCCAAAAAAATAAATAAATAAAATCACGCTATTTTGCTCAAGATTCTTTAATTTTGCTGCATTGCAAAGTTCACTGTCACGCATATCCGAAATATATCAGCTATTTTAAATAATATTATTTCACAATATTATTGTTCTTATTGCATTTATGATCGAATAAATGCAGATGAGAGACCTCTTTCAAAAACATGAAAAAAATGTTACGATCAACTTTTGAATGTCAGTATATTACGTTAAACTTTGAAAAATATCAGTAAAATACATCAATGCAATGAATGGAGTGCTTTACCAACTATTTTGTGATTGTGATGATTTTAGTGTTGGTCTATTAGAATGTCTTGCTCTTAACTTAGCGAAATACTAATGTAAAGGTTTGTATGTTCCAAAAAAAATAAATAAATAAAATCACGCTATTTTGCTCAAGATTCTTTAATTTTGCTGCATTGCAAAGTTCACTGTCACGCATATCCAAATGACTTCAGGTTGGTTTTTCGCTATTTAACACTGTCAGTGTGAGCGGCCCTTCAGAAGCTAACAGACAGCAAGGCATCTCACTAGGTTTTGTCCTCTAGACTTCAAGTATTACTTTAAATCTCAGCATGCCTGTTACTTTTAGCAAAATCTGATAGGTCTTTAAGCTACTGTCATGACTAGATCATTTAAGACTATCATATCATATTTCAAAGAGCTTCTGCATGTGCAATGCATCATGGATTTTAAAAAAAGTGTCTGGGAAATGACATCAAAGCATCCATCAGCCTAAGTAATGCAACTGAAAGACTGACAGACAAAAACATATGGTGCCAGCGGCTTGATAGATGCATGACCTCATTACTGATAGTATACCGTGACCTATGCAGATTCACTCAGAGATCCCATTTCTCTCTGAGAGGGGGTTAATAAACCTTGAGGAGTCAGGAAAGATGCCAAACACATCTGTCTGCGGCAACGGCATGCTCAAGAGTGAGAGAGGCCCGATCGATAGTGACTTCAGCATCCTTTAATTTGATGGAAGAGATCGATGGCAAAGCCAGGACGGAGAGCATGTGCCTGAGTGTATGCACCACTGAGATTGTGTAGGTGCATGTAAGTGTGCAGTGTTTTTAGTCTGATGTGCATGACAAAGTGTCACTAGTTTGAGTTTCGCATGTTCACCATTTACAAATGAAAATTGTGTAGTAATAGTTAAACTTGTGTCTGATTTAGGCCAAAACAACAGCCTCGAGCCGTGCAAGCTCGATATCATGCATCATTACCAACTGTGTCAGACTGCATTCACAAGTTTATAATGTAACGCAGGTACGTGTTGCTTCTCAGCACTACCGCAAGTCCAGTCCTCTCTACAGTCAGTTTTCAACTGTCATGGCAGAGCAACAGTCTTGCTCAGCATGTTGATTTAATGGCACAGACATTTGAAGATAACTTAATCACCCCTCGGAGTACTGGGCTATGTCACTTTAATGTGCATTTACATTTATGCTTTTATCTAAAGCGACTTATGTTGTTTTCATGATATACATTACCATTTCTATGTTCATGCATTCCCTGGGAAAAGAAATCATGATCTCAGCGTTACAAGCAGCTTTCTCTGCTGCTTAGCTACCACATACTGTACTTGCAATGCACTGGTCTAGCCTTGACTTCTGCATTTGCATATTTATGTTTAGTATGTTTCAGGCCTTTCTCTGCATTTATATATTGCCTCAAATTTCCTAACAAATATTGTAGTAAAAAGCAAAACCGAATTCCTGAGTTAAAGACTAAAACAATCTATTTTAAATAAATGTTGTTTTAAACTTTCTATTCATCAAAGAGTCCCGAAAAAATTTATTCCTTTTCAAAAAAAAAAAAATTAAGCAGCACAACTGTTTTCAATACTGATAATAACAATGTTTCTCGAGCAGCAGACTTTAGTTAAAAAAACATTAAACATTTTTTACCGAACCCAAATGTTCGGTAAAAGGTAGTGTATGTCTTTCACTTTAAAGGTGCACTAAGCAATATTTGAAAAACGCTTTTGACCACAGCGTCGGACCGAGTCCTAAAACACACTTGTAGCCAATCAGCAGTAAGGGGGCGTGTCTTGTTATGATAGAGAGAAGAGAGCGCTCAATTTGGGTGCACAGGATGGATATTAGCAGATCGACTATAGATGGCAGATAAAAAAAAAAGAGGAAAATATCAGAGAAACAAAACATTAAAAAGAAGGGTTACGATCAGGCAAGAGGTAGGACCCGAGTAAATATCGGAGCAGCTTTCCAGCAGTGGAGAGAACTCAAGGAGCGGGAAGGGCTCGAAATCGGACGCCGAGGTTGCATTGTTTTTTCTTCGTGATAGGTGAGTAATGTTGATTTTGCTTTGTTTCACGCAACTTATCCGTGTTGGCTTTTGTTTGAATATGCTTGTGTCATATCATCTTCACTTGTTTCCGCGATCGTCGTTGCAAGGGTTGTGTACGTACTTGTGGGGTGGAGATTTAAAAATAGGGGCGAGGTCCTGTTAGGCTATGGGCGTGTTTGTTTTGGTGCTTTCAAATATCAACATCGTTCGGCAAAAATCGCTTAGTGCACCTTTAAGTTAGTATTGTTGTTATTGGAACCATATCAGCCGATAAAGGTAATTATTAAGCAACAGTTGATACTGTATGCATCTGAATGCTTATTTCTACCTATCCAAGGTGAACTCTTAATTAGAAGATATAATTTAGCACTATAATGACAGAATGCAGCAAAAATTAATGTTTTTGATACAGGATGTGCTGTGCATGTAACTAATTTTGCCTTTACTAATATGACTCCAGTATATAATAAGGCTTTTAAGCTCAAATATATATCTATGACATTAAGCAAAGTGATAATTTAGTGAATCTATTTGTATAAAATACTACAGATTATATCAACCATTATGTGAAAATATTTACTTGTCGTCTCCCATGTTTGTGCAATAATAAGAAAGCTGTTTTTTTGCTAGGTTGTTTACAGAAACATTAACACTTTTACTACAAACCATCCATTAGATGGGGCAAGCACAGATTTGGTTTGTGACGGCACCCGTCTGCCGCCTCAGCCGGAATCCAGCGTCTTAAGCTGAAATAGTCTTACCCAGAATTCCCCTGTCACCGAGTCCCACCTGCCACTGCGACAACCTGCTGCTCTACCCTCCTGCAGGGCTGCAACCCCAGCAAGCTTTTAGCAGTATCATGCACTTCATCCTTTATTTTGCTGTGTGCTCTTGTCTGCGTTCAGATAAGACAGATGCTCGACTGTCACAACGCTTTCTCTCCTCTGCGTGAGCGACTGTTCCGCCGCACGTGTTTGCCATCACGACAGACCAGACATTACTAGAGTGCCAGATACTTGGTTTGTATCAAAGGTTGCTGTCTGCTGCTTGCAGATAAAAGGCTGGACGCTGATAAATACCAGGGGAAGCTACTGGAAGGTGCTTCTAAGGTGACATGACCTTTCTGATGAAACAGCTGTAGCTAGTTTTCCTGATAGAAGATAACTCTGACAGACAGCTCGAGCAGGCTTGGTAGCAAATCAGCACTGTCACTATTTCCTCAAGCAGACGCTCTAAACTCATTAGAATAACCTGACAGGCTTCAGAAGGAAATATCTATAAGAGAGAACACAAACAAGCAAACAAACAAAAAAGACATATTCTGGCAGATGAAGTCTGTATCTCTGGGAAGGTGACGTTTTGTCTCTTCAAAACAATAAAACACCCTTGGATTTCAACCTGTCGCTAGAGAAGAGACGTATTGGTAAATATGTTTATGCCTGCGGATGCTTGTGAAACTCCATCTCTATATGACATCAGGATGGATGCGACTACAGTGTATGGCATAATGCTCTGATAGACATCAGTGATGTTGTGCAGTGATGACTGTGAAGGCATATGCAGAAACTTACCATGACATCCAAATCAGATCAAGTTACTGTATGCCATTACTGATAATTCCAGCATTATTCCAGATCTTCACGTCTATAGGATAGTGAATCATGATTGGACAAGGAACTCCAATCGTATCAATAATAATAGCAGCGAAGTCAGTATAGGAGGAACACTTTCTATGAAGCCTGTACTGTATATTGATGCAGTATAATTCATATTGCCTTATAATGTAATCTTACAATCATTTGCATGTTCTTACAAATACTTTAACCACTGTTATAACACTTTCAAGAGTATGAAGCATTCAACTCCATGATTAGCACCACATTTCTTGTGCCATCATGTGTTTCATGTGCATTTACTCTTTAGAGGTGTTACCATGAAATTATTATAATGTTTTATGTGACTGAAACAGAATACCTTATATGAAAAGACTCAAATGAGGCTTTCTACTGAATAACATCACTAAAAAAAGTTTCACTGATTATTCAACAAACACCAAGATAACGGATATTTCTGGCAAGTCTGCAAAGCCTATATGACTAAGTGTGGTGTGAACTTTAACATTGGTTTATTCTCCACCATTTCTTTCTAAAACAATTGGTTCAGAGTCACCTGCAAAGAAAAAGCACAGATTTTTGTGCAGCTTAGGAGTCACAATGTTTTTTTTTCCTCCATTGTTCACCACTTTTATCTTGTTTTTATAGCACAGTCATAAAACATAATGAATAATTCAATTTAATTATTCATGATATATTTGCTTTAACAAGGAACTATAAATAGAATATTGTTACATCTAAAAAATATGCTTTTGTGGTTCGCCCATACCTTACTATATCCAGATACAGACAATTTTATCATTTACACAGATACACTACCATTCAAAAGATTTAGTCTCTGAAACAATTCTCTTTTGCTCACCAAGGCTGCATTTATTTGATCAAAAATGCAGTAAAAACAGTAATTTTGTGAAATATTATTAAAATGTAAAATAACAGTTTTCTATGTGAATATATTGTAAAATGTAATTGATTTCTGTGATGCAAAGCTGAATTTTCAGCATCATTACTCCAGTCTTCAGTGTTATATGATCCTTCAGAAATTTGCTGCTCAAGAAACATTTCATTTTTATCAACGTTGAAAACAGTTATGCGGTTTCAGTCATATTCACAGCTTTTTTGATGAAAAAGTTCAAAAGAACAGCATTTATTAGAAGTAGAATTTTTTGTAACATTATAAATGTCTTCACTTTCACTTCTGCACAATTTATGTGTCCTTGTTGAATACAAGTATTAACTGCTTCTAAAGAAAAGCCCCAAACATTTGAAAGGTAGCGTATACAGAAAATGGCCTTGCTGCACACTCCTCGTGCATTACAAGGAATTGTGCTTTATATATAATGCATCATACATACAGGTTTCACGCAAAGTGTTATGGAAGCCTATGCATACGTGTGTTGTTGAGTGACATGTCATCAGAAGTGTATCTGATTCGCTACAAGCTCACGTCAAGGTTATGTGAGCAATCAGTCGAGCTAGACATGACAATCTAGTGATTGGGCTTACTTACTTTTAATCTATGAAGGGTCATCAGGTGTGCTGTCCAGAGACTAAGCAGCTAAACCAAATCACAGACTCTGGGTCTTGATGATCTACACATGCCCGATAGGGTTCACATACTCTACCTTCTTCTGCATTCAGCTCAAAGTGGTAGAAGCCTCTGGAGCACTTACCTTTGGTCCACATTGATATCAGATCAAACACTATAAAACCCAGTCATGGAAAAGCTGCAGTGCAAAAGTAACTGACGGCAAAGCGTTAACTGCTTTTGAGGTCAAAAGTTGGGCAGATTTTCTTAACCTTTGCCATTGCATTCAGAAGTGTAGCTTTCTAATAAATACATCTGAATACCTCCTGCTGGTACTTCACACTTCATCAAGAGATGCATATGTATGATATTCAAACGCACTAACTTTTTAAATTTTCAAGGCAAGATTTTCTCTGCCTTGACCTTTCAATAAGGCTGTATTCATTTTTGTTCCATTTCTTTTACCCTAGTTGCATATTAACGCAACATTCTCTCTAAAGAATGCCCACAAACCCCCTATTATACTTGAATCAAATGCACACTGCCATGCATCAAGGAAACTTTGCGTGTGTGAGTGTGTGAGTGGTAGTTCCATTTCTCTGGGCATTGGATCAATCAGGTACAAAGCACTGCTTGCGTTGGGCGTACTATCATGATGGCAGGAAGTGATGTGTAATCATGCGGTAGCTGACAGCACCCATTTACTGAATGCTTCCTTTTGTGTCTGACAGCATAGATGAAACTACAGTGACGTCACACAACAGGCACTTCTGGGCTCTTCAGACAAGAAGCTTTTAGTCCTGGCGCTGCATTTCTAATGATCTGTGAAAATTTCATAATGTAATAATGCTCGCTAAGTTTAATGAAAGTTATTATGAAGTGATACCTACGGTTTATTGTGAAGAAATATACACAGGTTGTTCCTGTGTGTTAGTTGGACATACACTACTATTCAAAAATTGTCATTTTTGGGGGAGAAATTAATACTCAAGGATGCATTAAACTGATCAAAGATGACAGCAGAGTCATTTATAATGTTACAAAAGATTGCTCTTCAAATAAATAAAAATTTTCTAGTCATCAAAGTGTCTGTTTAAAATATTGATAATCGGTAATGTTTCTTGAGCAGCGAATTTGCACATTAGAATGATTTCTGGAGGATCATGTGAAGACTGGAGTAATGATGCTGAAAATTCAGCTTCAGTGACATTACACAATATTACGGTTTCTTTGCAAATAAATGCAACCTTGAGACTTCCCTCAAAAACATTTCAAAACTCTTACCAACATTTGAATGGCAATATTATCAAGTTATGGATCACACATTCTCATACATACAGCAAGACTGTTCTAAATGTGAATTGTGGCATATAAAAGTAAAACAATCACACAAACACGTGTGAAATGTGTTATCTGGCCTAAAATCTCGGTATTAGTCAGCGGTCATGTATTTGCCCTTATATTTGCTCTGAACGGTGAAATCAGTGAAATCATTTCAGGGTTTGTGCAATGCCTCAGAGAAATGCAAATCTACAGCCACCAGCTGCGATTGGATCAATTGGGTCTTATTAGATCAGAGCTGTGATCTGTGAGCTATCATAATTCATGTAAAATCCACCACCAATAATGACGGAAATCAGCAGAAGGCCAAAAATCCTATACTTTCAATCAATGTTTCAATCCCTCAAACAGAATTTTTAGTCATTTCCAGTTCAGTCTGAAAATCTTTTACGCAGAGTGCCTTTTTTTGGTTGTAAACAGTAAATTTATCATGAGTAATTTAACATCTCTCCAAGCCTAGTGAGCTGTGAAATGCACATGATGCCCAAAAATGCTGTCTGGGTTAGCAGCTTACTAGGGTTTGAAACAGAAGCAACATCTGTAAAGAAACACTCACATTGTACTAAAATCCCAGCAAGGGCGTTTTTGAACTTCTCCTTGGCCTCCTCCATCTCCTTCTCATGGGCGGCCTTCTCGTTCATCAGCCGGCGAATGTGGCTGTTGGAGGACTGGATCATGGAATAGATGTTGTTGGCGTTTCTGCGGTTTACCTCCCCTCGTTCCACCCAGGTCAGCAGGACACGCACGGCCTCAGCAAATTTAGAGTCGTCTGAGTGGAGAAAGGAAAAACGGTGGGGGAGAAACAGATGGTGGGACGAGAGCTCAGTACAATGTTGGAGAGGAACACTTCTCATCTGGGACCTTCTAGCTTCAAAACTTATTAGCAAGACATGTTTACTGGGCCAAAAAAGACAGCAAGTGCACACTAGCTAAGTAGAGGACATTTAGGAGAGGACAAGAGAACAGGGACGGACATCAACAGCATGCAATAGGCTTGGACGATCAAACTTGTCAATCATAACTCACGGACATTATTGTGTGCTTTCTGTTAAAAGGGGTAATATTATTTAAAATGATTCAGTTGTTCATAAAGTCCTGAGACACACAGGTGTGTGTGTGTGTGTGTGTGTGCGCGCGCGCGTGGGGAAAACAGTCCAGCCGATTGCTCTGAAACTACAAAGCTTTGGCTTGCGACTTTCGGCTGGGAATGAGATAAGAAACAGAGAAAACTGAAAACTACTGTAATGAATGCCACAGGGAGTCTCTTCCAGAAATCTATAATTTTCTTAAAATTAAAATAAAATCTGCAAATAAAAATCAACTAAAAGAACAGTTTGGCAGAGATTTGCGGAGCTGTTTGGTGTTAACTGCGTGACAGATGAAGAACTGTTGTAAAGGCATTGCTGTCTGTTTATCGAAGATGATTTGTGTTGTAAGAAAATTAAAAAGACAAACATAATTATTTTGTTTTTGTATACTTGTTACTGTAATCCTGTAAAGCACACAAACACATGTCTGACTGAGATTTCTAGGAGGCTTTGATTTATTTTATAGACGTCCTAACTACAGATAATCAAAAGATGCTGTCAAATAATTTAAATGAATAATCCATCAACCCTTTTAAGACTGCATCAATGTGTCATGAATAAGAAATCCCTCTCTATCAATAAACTGATTTAGCTGCTGATTTATCCGATTCAGACTCAATACGTCAGAACTAACAGATTAAAAAAATAATTGTCAAACCTGATTATACAGACAAATCTAGCAGATATAAGGATGCTGTTGAGATTTTCTCCAGCAAACAGCATGCGATATCATCCTTTCCTCTCTTTCCTTCATCTTTTACCTGTAAACACTGCAAACTGAGCTGAACTGCATATAACCCATTACATATGGAAAAGTGGCTAATGCACATGGCTAATTTCAACTGATTTCATCTCAAAAGCTTCTCTTTATTACACTCTCTCTCTCGGACAGAGATTTGAGATGCAGTCGTTAAACAGATGGTTTCTATTAAACTGCATGGAACGTCAAACGCAAAGAGACAAACTGCTTTTAGATGCATTCAGCCAACAGGAAACAACAGAGGTGTGACTGACAAAAACAACTAAATCCCTGTAACAGAAGAATAACACGTCACGTGTCCCACCTTTGAGCTTTTCTCCTAACTGGCTGCACTCGTGCTCAGAGAAATGGACGATGGGGGGCGGCGAGGGGGGCCGCAGACGGTCCTCTTCTATCCTGCGCCGGTGCCTCTCTTCCCGGGCCAGCATGCGCTGTCTGCACTCCCACTCGTACAGGTCATCTCGAGCCTGAGCGAAATCTACATGCAGCCGGCCTGTGTCCTTCTTATCTGTGCTTGATCCCAGCCGGATCCTATAACCTACAGAACAGGGAAATGGACATGGACAATGATATAGGAAAAGGAAGGAATTGAAGGTAAGGAAAAGAAAGTGGAAATGGAAATGGAAGGGGAAGCAGAGTAAAGCAATAAAGGAAAAGCAAGAATGAGAAAGAGGAAAGGAATGGGGAAAATGAAGAAAGGAAAAGAACAGGACGACAAAAGAAAATAAAATAAGAAGGGAAAGGGAAATGGAACAAAGGACATAAGAAGAGGAAGGGGAGGAAATGACAGAAAAAAGGACAAAAGGAAGGGGAAATGGAGCAAAGGAAATGGGAAAGGCGAAAAATAAAGGGAAGTGGATTAAAGTAATGGCCAATAAAAGACAGGAAAAGAAAGAGGAAAGGAATTGGTCAAAGGAAAATAAATAGGTAAGAGGTAAAAGAATGGGAAGGGTAGTAAAGGAAAAACCATGAAAGACAGAAAAGGAAAAAAAAAATCAAGAGGAAATGAAAGGAAGAGGAAGAGGAAGGGTGAACCAATCAAAGGGAAAGAAAGGAAAGAGGAAGGGAAAATGAGAAAAAGAATGGGAAGGGAGAGAACAAGTGGACAAGAAAAGACATGGATTGACAGAAAAAGAAAAAGTAAAGAAAACAGGAAAAGAAAAGAAAAGAAAGAGGAAGAGGAAAGGGAAACAGAAAAAAAGATAATGGAAATTGGAGTGGAGAAAAGAAGTTGAAGGGGAGTAAAGTACAGGACAAGAAAAGACAGAAGAACAATAAAAGAAAAAAAACAACGGAAAAGAGGAATGAAAACGGAAGAAAAGAGAAAAAAGGAAAAAACAGGAAATTGAGAAAATGAAAAGAAGGGAAAAAGAAAGGGAAGGGGAAAAGACAAGGAAAAAGTAAGTATAGGAAAGGACGGAGAGGAAAGGAAAGGAAAAAGGAGGGAAAAAAGTAGAGTGCAATAAGTTAAATGGTAAAAAAGGAAAGAGAACAGGACAAGAAAATGAGAGCAGCAGAAAAGCATTGAGCCTTAACTAACCACATGAATGTAATGAGAAAAACAACATATTAGCAACACTGATTCATGAAGTGACACGTGACAAAGAGACACCCACAAACACTCTCTGATGCTTAAGCTTTACTTCTAACATGTGCTTGCTGACATATTAAGGCCAAACCACGCATATTTGTTTATTTTGTAGGAAATGTATAAAGCCTCAAATGTTACACTCAGATGAGGAAATCGAAAACCAAAACCCTACCAGCACAGATAACCATGATGTATGAGAATAATCTGGTTTGTGATAGGGCTGAAAAAAAGAAAGTGATTTTGTATTAAGGATTATACATTTCAATTGCTCGGAAAAGTATCTTGACAAATGGCCAAGCGGTACGTGAAAGAGGCTCCAGTGAATTCTGAATCGTATGATGCTGCGAGTACATTACAGAGAGGCTGAGAAGTGTTTTTAAGGAGAATGTATTTTCACAGACGGCCGTGTCAACAGAAATGAGAGAAAGAGCTTCACGGTTTGCTTCCGCCACTCTATCACTGCTTTACAGCCCTGAGACGCTGTTAAATATTTTACGCAATGTGTTCACGTTAGAAATGAGCACCATTATTTATGGAAAGGCCTGCAGAGCTCCGTCACGAGGCCACATAATATATGGGGCGCCGCTCCAATCTCGTCCCTCTCCACTGAGAGAGCAACACTCAGAGAAGAATAAATAATGGAAAAGGTATTATTGAAGCGACCGGTGCTTCAAATTTGCTTTCTGTGGCTGAGATGGACATCCTAATATTTGCATACAAAGACTGATTTAAGTTGTGACTGGATAAGAGTAGCAGCTCATGTGACCGGTGTCGAGGAGGTGATTGATATGCAGCGTTCAAAGGCAGAAATGTATTACTAGGTGTCGGCGCTTGTCTTCTCATTGACCTCTTCTGTCAGGGACTCTCGAGGGCCAGCGTCTACAGATCTTGAGTTCTGTGAGTGATGTGCGGAAGCCCCGCCCTCCTAATTAATTCTGCATCAATCCATCAAGTCAAGAGGGAACTTGTGGACACATGGGCCTCATTTCCATGCGATAAAAGGTTAAGTGAAATTATTCTAAATCACATGGCGTGGCACATAAGTGATAGGCATGCTTCAGTGCTCTTATTTGTATTCTTGCTTATGAAATTGTGAAATATTAAGGGTGTAATCTACAATGAAAGTTCACAATTTAAAAGATAGCTGCTGTTAGTGTCAATTCAAATATTAAATTAAAAGATTTGAATGATATATGTAAACGAAAATAAAAACAAACATAAAAATAAAATAAGAAGTGACACAGCTCGTGATGGACAGATCGTTAATGGCTGGTCTACTTTTAAATGAACCAATTCGAATGGAAAACAAATATTCTCTGATTATGTAATCCGTATGAATCATGCATGCAGGCGCATCACTACTGCAGAGAGTCAGTGTCGCCGACTTCATCTCAAGCCGAAAGCACTAGTTTATCAATAAATTATTAAAATGTTAATGCAGTGTTTTTCCCTGACACATTCATAATTATTAGTGTTTCCCATACATTGGTTTATTTATGGCAGCCCGTCACAATAACACTGACCGCCACAAATAGATTTTCCAAAAGGCTTTGACTTTGTTGAATAAACATGAGCACTGCACGTTTCAAAGTCAAAACGCGACGTGGGTGTTTTTATATGAATGTATTTTGAAGGGAACTGATTGTTTTTAGATGTTATTTTAATTTAATCTTTACTATAATGCATGATAAAGCAGCATTTATGAGCGCAGCTCTGCTTTGTTTACAAGCAGCTCTGTTTCTGCCGCTCCTAAAGCGCCTCCTGCTGGCAGAGAATTAATTAGCATTTTCAATCAGTCAGCCCCTCTGCTGTTTTATACCCTATATTTCCCCCGGGGGAAGTGCCACCACAAATAAGAGTGTAAGCCTGTGGGAAACACTGTATTATTATATCTGCCGGTGTACTGTGGCAAGCTTTATGCGTGCGCTCGAGCACTTATTAGGCTATGTAGGCAAAGGCTCATTATAATGATTTAACAAACGATTATTAACAAACGTGCGATTAGACAACTAATGCATAAATTGAATGACTACTAGTCGACCAGAAAAATCTTTAGTCGAGGACAGCCCTAGTATGTATGTATGTACAGTTGTGCTCATAAATTTACATGCCCCTTGCAGAATATGCAAAATGTTAATGTTTATCAAAATAAGAGGGATCATGAAAATTGCATGTTATAGTTTATTTAATACTGTCCTGAATAAGCTATTTCACATAACAGATGTTTATATATTCTCCACAAGACAAAATAATAACTGAAGTTATAAAAATGACACCGTTCAAAAGTTTACATACCTGAATCTTAATACTGTGTGTTGTTTCCTGGATGATACATAACTGTCTTTCTGTTTTGTGATAGTTGTTCATGAGTCCCTTGTTGGGCCTGAGCAGTTCAACTGCCTGCTGTTCTTCAGAAAAATCCTCCAGCTCCTGCACAATCTTTGCTTTTCCAACATCTTCTGCATATTTGAACCCTTTCCAACAGTGAAATGCAACACAATACATTAAGAGCCAGAGGGTGTAAACTTTTGAACAGGATGATGATGTGCACATTTTTCTCATTTTGTTTAAAGATAATTTTTTTTCAATTGGTACTGCACTTATGAAGCAACATAAATACTAAAATGTTTCCCAGAAGACAAAATAAGTACAATTTAACCTGATCATCCAATTCAAAAAGTTTACACCCCCTAGCTCTTAATGCGTTGTGTTGCCTTCTTGAGCATCAGTAAATGTTTTCACCTTATTTAATAGTTATGTATGAGCCCAATTGTCCTCAGTGTGAAAAGATGGATCTCAAAATCATACAGTCATTAGCTATGTTTCCATCACCCTGTTTTAATGCGCATTTTGAAGTATCGCATGAGAAATGAGTGATGGAGATGCCAAATTTCGAATAAAAATCGAAAAATTTTAATTCGCAAAAACGTTTTTACGCTCGCTTGAGGTGGTTTTTGACTTGTGTGAAAAAGGGTTGATGCGAATAATGGGAGATGGAAATGCATTTTGCAAATACATTTCTCCAAGCACATCAAAAAAAGTCATGTGACTTTGCGCTATGGGATGGCAAATCCTGACTAACCAGTGGACTGATCTCATTCCACAGCATCTGAAATGTTATTATGCACGAGCAAAGTCCGTCATCAAAGTATTTCTGTATAATTGGCTCCCAGAAATGTCTTACACGACTGCGTTCCCAAACAGCAGCATCCACCACCGAAAGCAATGACCGCATTCATTGCATTTCATCTGCTCGCTCTGAGGCGCAAGTAATTTCTTATATATGAAAATTATTATATTCTCCTACTTTTCTTAGTGATTTATAGTGCCAATTTATCAGGAAGTGACGATTTTGTTCTCTTATGTATGTACAGTTGTGCTCATAAATTTACATGCCCCTTGCAGAATATGCAAAATGTTAATGTTTATCAAAATAAGAGGGATCATGAAAATTGCATGTTATAGTTTATTTAATACGGTCCTGAATAAGCTATTTCACATAACAGATGTTTATATATTCTCCACAAGACAAAATAATAACTGAAGTTATAAAAATGACACCGTTCAAAAGTTTACATACCTGAATCTTAATACTGTGTGTTGTTTCCTGGATGATACATAACTGTCTTTCTGTTTTGTGATAGTTGTTCATGAGTCCCTTGTTGGGCCTGAGCAGTTCAACTGCCTGCTGTTCTTCAGAAAAATCCTCCAGCTCCTGCACAATCTTTGCTTTTCCAACATCTTCTGCATATTTGAACCCTTTCCAACAGTGAAATGCAACACAATACATTAAGAGCCAGAGGGTGTAAACTTTTGAACAGGATGATGATGTGCACATTTTTCTCATTTTGTTTAAAGATAATTTTTTTTCAATTGGTACTGCACTTATGAAGCAACATAAATACTAAAATGTTTCCCAGAAGACAAAATAAGTACAATTTAACCTGATCATCCAATTCAAAAAGTTTACACCCCCTAGCTCTTAATGCGTTGTGTTGCCTTCTTGAGCATCAGTAAATGTTTTCACCTTATTTAATAGTTATGTATGAGCCCAATTGTCCTCAGTGTGAAAAGATGGATCTCAAAATCATACAGTCATTAGCTATGTTTCCATCACCCTGTTTTAATGCGCATTTTGAAGTATCGCATGAGAAATGAGTGATGGAGATGCCAAATTTCGAATAAAAATCGAAAAATTTTAATTCGCAAAAACGTTTTTACGCTCGCTTGAGGTGGTTTTTGACTTGTGTGAAAAAGGGTTGATGCGAATAATGGGAGATGGAAATGCATTTTGCAAATACATTTCTCCAAGCACATCAAAAAAAGTCATGTGACTTTGCGCTATGGGATGGCAAATCCTGACTAACCAGTGGACTGATCTCATTCCACAGCATCTGAAATGTTATTATGCACGAGCAAAGTCCGTCATCAAAGTATTTCTGTATAATTGGCTCCCAGAAATGTCTTACACGACTGCGTTCCCAAACAGCAGCATCCACCACCGAAAGCAATGACCGCATTCATTGCATTTCATCTGCTCGCTCTGAGGCGCAAGTAATTTCTTATATATGAAAATTATTATATTCTCCTACTTTTATTCGAGGTTTATAGTGCCAGTTTATCAGGAAGTGACGATTTTGTTCTCTTTGACTTGTTGGATGGAAACGATGCTTGTTCGCAAATGTTTTATGCGATATTCCAGTTTTGTGCACAAGTTAAATTCGCAACTTTGGATGGAAACCCGGCTACTGTTGGAAAGGGTTCAAATATGCAGAAAATGTTGGAAAAGCAAAGAATGTGCAGGAGCTGGAGGATTTTTCTGAAGAACAGCAGGCAGTAGAACTGCTCAGGACCAACAAGGGACTCATGAACAACTATCACAAAACAGAAAGAGTCATGGATCATCCAGGAAACAACACAGTATTAAGATTCATTCAATTTTGAACGGGGTCATTTTTATAAATAAAGTTATTATTTTGTCTTGTGGAGAATATATAAACATCTGTTATGTGAAATAGCTTATTCAGGACAGTATTAAAAAAAAAACAATAACATGAAATTTTCATGATCCCTCTTATTTTGATAAAATTATTAACGTTTTGCATATTCTGCAAGGGGCATGTACATTTATGAGCACAACTGTACACATATATATAATAAATGATTTACATATTTATATATGCATTATAGTTATTGAAATTATTCCTAAATATTTTATATGATTTAAATTTTCATAGATATGTCCATACTTAAATAAAACAATTCTCATATAGAGCAACTGTTGGTGTTGCAGAGAGATCCTCCCGATCATGTACCTGACAGGAAGAGGGCCTTGTCCACTGTGTGCTCCTCAGCGAAGCGGATGTGACAGAAGTTCTTCTTGCTTTTGCGGATGGCGATGATACTCCCGCACTGTTCGAACACCTCCACAATGAGCTGCTCTGTGGCGTTTTCTGGTAAACCGCCCACAAACACCGTCTTACAGCCGGGCGGTCTCTCTCTGGTGGCAGGGGGAGGCAGGTCTTTGAAGACAAGCACAAAAGAATATTAAACTACCAGAATTTTTGACATTTTCTTTCATCTAGATATTGATCTCCATTTTTCACTGCATTAAGTCCATAGCTTATTATTGACTCGTATGCCACATATGAAACATGCTAAATCAATCACTGATTGTTTTTTTTTGTTTTTTTACGACCTTGACATTAAAATTATTTATTATCCAATTCTAATCTAAAAGACCAGGGTTCATCTGGAAGATCATTAAAAACGGTAATGCGCCAAATCACATCGATCAGACTGACATATTTTTGGCCTTTTGCCACTTTTATTTGATAGTCTTAGCATAGACAGGACTCAACATGTCACTGGATCTTTCTCTCGACTGGTTTAATTTGCAGAACACGGCACTAGAACCTCCAGGTTGTGCTCCTCAGCGAAGCGGATGTGACAGAAGTTCTTCTTGCTTTTGCGGATGGCGATGATACTCCCGCACTGTTCGAACACCTCCACAATGAGCTGCTCTGTGGCGTTTTCTGGTAAACCGCCCACAAACACCGTCTTACAGCCGGGCGGTCTCTCTCTGGTGGCAGGGGGAGGCAGGTCTTTGAAGACAAGCACAAAAGAATATTAAACTACCAGAATTTTTGACATTTTCTTTCATCTAGATATTGATCTCCATTTTTCACCGCATTAAGTCCATAGCTTATTATTGACTCGTATGCCACATATGAAACATGCTAAATCAATCACTGATTGTTTTTTTTTGTTTTTTTACGACCTTGACATTAAAATTATTTATTATCCAATTCTAATCTAAAAGACCAGGGTTCATCTGGAAGATCATTAAAAACGGTAATGCGCCAAATCACATCGATCAGACTGACATATTTTTGGCCTTTTGCCACTTTTATTTGATAGTCTTAGCATAGACAGGACTCAACATGTCACTGGATCTTTCTCTCGACTGGTTTAATTTGCAGAACACGGCACTAGAACCTCCAGGTTCACAAAGCTAATCTCTTTTTGATAAACCAATTCAACCATGAATAAGATGCATTGAGAAAACCAGGCATAATCAATGAAACTCGGCACTTGCTACATGACTGGATTACCAGTGCAAAGCTTGCCATGTTCTGCTGTTAGCTGATTCCTCAGCGATGCTGTGCAGACCAACGGGTGATAATCCGTGTCTTAACAAGCTATGGGAATGCAGATGAAGGAAGCACCTGCTGGGACTCAGAGGGGACCGCGTGCCTGATGGGGGGTCCAAACAGAGTCGGACGCAAAGCTGTTCAGGCATGTTTGGCTGTAAGCCAGTCACTATAAATAAGTGAGTCTCTTTGGACCCCACAGCTGCCCCCTAACACTCGCTATCCATCATCACCAACATTACACTAACTTCTGTTTATTGTGGTGGCTCATGATGAGCTTTATATTTATGTCAGCTCATGCCAGTGGAAAGAATATAATACTCCACTGACTAGAGGATGTGACATATGTGTACAGCTTCAATACAACACTATAAGAGCATGCATATGGACCAAAACGATTCGGATGTCAGTCATGGGCTTTGGATGACATGCTGTGGTATTGTAAAAAAAAAAAAAACTCTGTAAACATGTTTACCAAGCATAAAATGACTTGTCTGTCTGATCATCACTGAAGTCTGAATGGGATTTTGTTTATTTGCTTGCCTTATTTTAGCAGCGGATTCATTGAAGGAATTATGTAAATCAGGTACTGCTGCAAATATGGCAACAAAATTAGTGCTGATAGCAATTCACACCTCGGCTGGATCTGGAAGACTGAATACCATGATTTGATACACTCTTCTGAGCCTCACGAATCGACTCTTTACAAAGCTGAAAATTATTCTTTATGGTTGCCATGATCACTAGAAAACATACATAAACATTCATTTGAAATAAAATCCAGTTTGTTTTAATGGTGTCATGTCTTTCCTTTGAAAGCACAGTGTCAACTGCGTTGGCCAATGTATGCTAATGTTCATTTTATAAAGAGCCTAATTTGCATAGAAAGGATTTGCTCATAAAGGAATGACATGAATTTGAATATGCATGGAACAGCACTGTACTACATACAGCACCTGCTTATGTTGGGCTGTGAGTTTTTATGCTAATAAACGCGTGGTCACATTTACCTTTCTACAGCGAAATTCTGCAGCCAAAAAGCCATTGTTTCACCTGTGAAGTTTCATTAACATGACCTCACCTTAAGTTGCATGTATGGTTTTGTGCTGAAATACAGGGCTGCAAGGTCTGCATAACAAATCCACCCCAATTGGTACTAAAAAACAGCCCAATCACAGCCCATTTGGTTTCTAGGGGGTCAAAACCTCCTCCTGCCGTGGCAACAGTATAAAAGTAGCCAAATTCTGCTGGAAAACCATGGACTTGGCAACACTACCAACACTGAATTCACCTCTCATTATCTAGAAAAGAACATGGTTATTATGTCTACTTTCTTATGTAGATTTTTGTGTACTATTATGGATCAAGAGCTTTGATTATCCGGCCAGTACACAGGCATATTTAAGAAAACCACAGACGCATGCACTGACAGAGCAAAAACGCACTAATCTAAAAGCTGAATACTAACGTTAAAGTTGAGTTTTTCTCAGCATGAGTCTAGAACGAGAGACTTGAGGCTCCTAGTTTAAGAACAACCACTGATAATCTCAAAGGGGCAAGTCGTTCGGTTTTCATCTTACGGTGAGCTCGATTAAATACTGGTTGCTGGCCCAGGTGAGCAAATGTTTACTTTGTCAAATGCACATGAAACATTTTAGCTTGACATCAGCAGTCTCTTGAAAGTTGAAACTTTGAGCAAGCAATAAAAACACAGAGTAGATGTTTGCTTTAGGAGGAACAGAGGAGCTCCACAAGAAAGAGTTTGATACCTCTGAACTTTTCTAAATCAAATACACCCACTTTGTTTTCATAGTCACACTGTGGGGAGAAAGCAAAGCAAAGTATACAGTTTCATGAGTTTTTTACCATGCAGCCGGTGGCTGATTTGTTTCGATTGTCACCCAAGACGGCGATGTGAAATTACACACAACACTGCATCAGATCTGAGATGTCTGAGATAGCTTTAGAGAGTTTCTTCAGTAACTATGACGTCTCAAAGTGGAAACTGCACAGCGATAAAATCAAAGCCTATTATTTCACAAACCAATGCTCTTCCCATGGCTCCATGGCTAAATATCCCGTGCCGTCAAAGGCGCTTCTTTGAAGAGTGAGTTAAGATGACACAGGGGGGTCTGGGACATAAATTCAGGAGGGCACTGTGTGCCTCCAGCACTGCGAGCGCTCGACCGAGAGACAGTCGTCAACAAGCTTAACGCTAATCAGCTCAAATGAAGACAGCCGCAGGTGTATTGCTGTATCGCTGTCTCGCGCACGCTCAAATACACATAGACGATGGAGATGACAACCACTCCGTAGACAGAAGTTGATAGGAACGTGGGATGTGGGAACATATATGGAACGATGAAAATGATGAAAAATGCTCAGTTCTGCCACCTTCACTGAAGAGAGACGCTTCAGTGGCACCACACAGATGCATAGCGTTGATCTTAACAAGCATGTTGCTCTGTGAAGCCCCAGATGTGTTTTAGTCACAGACCTCCAGAAGACTCAACGGCATGGGAAGCCTGACTCGAATCGGTGCGTGTGAGGTGGTAAAGGAAGAAGTCCTGGGCTTTTTGTTTGCTCGAGTGGGGTGTCAGGAGTGAGACTGCAGATAAGATTAACTGACTTCTCAAAAGGTAGTTTTCACTCAGCTTGACAGCCGTCTACCTGCTGTGTATTGTCCCTCTTGAAAGAGGAGAGCAGGACAGTGTCTCTGTAGGAAGCCTGTGGCGATCACAAGCACCTTAAACAGGCTTTTCTCCACAGGAGAGCTATACATGATCACTATGTTTTCACTCCACTTCTTTCTTTCTTTCTATTTATTTGTATTTATTGTAACACTTTGAATACAAATCTAAATTCTGCAGTGGTTGAATTGTGGATCGTGTCTGATCACCTGCTGAGCTATGTCCCAGGTTTTTTTTTCAGCATCACAGCAAGGTTTAAGCAATTATACTGAACCTAAACAGATTTGTAGAATTCAAAGGCACATTTAAATCATCACAACGCTCACATTTTTGGACATCATAGAATGTCTAAATAGAGTAAGCTGCATACTTTTGTGCATCGTAAGTTCTTGCATTTCCACACACTGTTATGAAATGGTGGAAAGCGCAATAATGCATTTTTTGTCTAGGTTTGCTGCCCAAAATACTAAGTTTGAAATGAACATATCTATGATGTCCAAAGATGTATGGCTTGAATAGTCTGTGATGCATAAAAGGGTCTGGGTTTGATTCAAGCATTCACACATTCTATGAAGTCCAGAAATGTTGTTGAGGTCAGGTTGAACAGTCAAACACTGCCCAAAAACATTCAATCACACCATCTTTTTGTTTAGGTTTGATTCAAACAACTCCGTGATGGTTTAAATACTTTTAGGCAGACTTCAAATATCTTGCATTTAAAGACTGATGTTATACAGAGATCATAAAATCCTTAATAACATTTGAGCATGATATTAAGAAATGTGCATTGTGCAATAAAGAACACCAACATTTAATTATAATTTTATATAAGTAAGTCTTAAGTAATATGTCAATAAATATGTTAATGGATTTGAAGTATTTAGTATGAGATAAATGTTTTTTAAATATATTATGACATATGTTTTTTTTTTTAACTAGGGCATTGAACAACTTAATTAAGTACCTAAAATGCCCAGAACTTAGTACAGATTTGAACGTGCCAATGACTCCCAAAAAAGCCATCAATATCTGACTACATCATTCAATCAGCCACCTATACTGCCCCAAGATGCTCTCTTGGTCCATATACTGTATATACAACATTAATAACATTAGACATTTTTGAAAATAAGGCATTTTAATAACTGACTAATAACTGATCTCTATCCAGGATATCTCAGAAACTAAAAATCATTCCCATTAATAATAATAATAAAAAAAAAAAAAAACTTGAAATCAAAATAAGATTAAGTGCTAAATTGAAAACTAATACAGTATAAAACAATACTGAAATGAACAATAAAGCTAAATAAAAATATTAAAGGAAACTAATAAAAAAGACAAAAGCACATACATTTACTAAAACCCGAAATTAAAATTTAAATGAAAAATGAAAATATCAAAATAAAAGCAAATTCAAAATATTATTCAATCAATAATACACTGTTTCTAATGAATAAAAGCAACTATGACATCCCATGGCTTTGAGACATAGCCAGTAGTTATTTTAGGCAGCAGAGTGTATAAGTGAGGTTAAAGGCCTCTGCAGGCACAGGCGGGTGTAGCGGAGCGAGGTGCGGGTGATATGTGTCGTGAGTGGGCTGAAGTGTGGAAACAGGCCAGACTGGCAGTGCCCTCAGGAAACTGAGTCTTCCAGAAGCAGAAACACAGTGACACGGCCCTCTCGGCTCTTGGAAGAAGAGAGCTCTGCCTGATATAAAGGTCAGTCTCAGGCACAGAGCCAGGGCAGACTGGAGGTTT